TCAAGCCAGCAACAACGCGCATGGCAATCTACTCGCTCGTGAAACATCGTGGTCTCTTAGTGGGTTCTTTTCGGTCTTGCTTTTTTTGTCCTCTAGTCCATAGTCTCCAAGTGTTCAGTGTCAAGAACTAAATCCAAGCAGCCGTGGACGATATTGTCTAACGTACCGACTGATTCAAGGAATGGTAAAGCTTTTTTTGCCTTGGTGTCAACTTCAGATTTCGATCCCTCTCTCAGCCCGTCCCTCAGCAACGTGTCCAGAAACACATATCAAAACGCATTTCTCATCAATCATAGTTTGAGTTTCAAGCTGCAACGGCCTCCGACTTGGATTGAAACAGCATCCAGACATCTGCAGTCTTGAACCTCGTGGTCGCCTCTTGTGAAAAAGTTTACACGTAAAGCCAGCAATGAATATGTCTTGTTGAGCTTCGTCACCGTCCACGATATTCTCCTGCCCAGGAACTACCTAAGCCTACAGCCGATGCCGCCTATGCCTATGATTCGATTCTCTAAAAGTTCCAAACATTGAAACTCAATGACCAGCTCAACTCACAGGGAACCTTTGGTAGTGAAGGTGGATCGCAGTGGCCGTTGTGCACGGCGCAGAACCCACCCAGCCTACAATGGCGCTGCAAACCTACGACGCTAGATCACTAGGTGAACTAAGTACAACAAAACCAGCCCCAACCTGCTTGAGGTCATGTTCTCAAAGCAGTGGGTCACAGCATTGTTCTGCAGGAACCACTGTCGGGTCGGCAACTCGGCGCCGCACAGACCCTAGTGATCCCTAGTGTCTTTTTTAGTCTTTGTCACTGTCTCTGATTCTCTCTGAGCATCGCTACTACAAGCTACTAGGGGCTCCTGGCCTTACTACTAAGAGCAAGGAGGCTACTGGGAGGCTCCTGGCATCGCTACTAGGAGCATTCTGAATTCTTGCTACTACAAGCTACTAGGGGCTCCTGGCCCTACTACTAGGAGCAAGTACGCTACTAGTGGCTCCTGGCATTGGTACTAGGAGCAGTGCTGTCAGTATCCGTGTTTGCAAAAAACACATTTCAATTGAGGCATTCTCGAGTCATCATCACGGTACAGCGACGCCAATGACAGCGACATGGGCGGTCAACGGCAGTCCCAAACCCTGCTGCCCTGTCCTGTCTGCATCCTTCTATCCGCTTCTACTGTCAAACGCCTTTCAAAAAGCAGTGCTTTGGTTCGCTACACATGGTTTTGGCACATGCCACAGCCCTGCCCCCCGTGAGGCATGAGATGAGCCTGAACTGCACACAGCCTGCTCAAACTGGTGCCACATCTAAAACTCGCTAATGTAATGTTGGTATTCCACCACAGCACTTCATGTGCAAAGAGACAACTTCACAAAACGCATGAGAAAAATGCAGGCTTCACTTGAAACTGCTTCGCTTAGCTGCTTTTGTTTGACTGACCCGGTGCGTAACACCAAATTTGTATGCCCTGGACCCTAACGTTACCCAGTTATGTTTCCAAGTTGATCAAGCCGTGGCCCAAAAATTGCAACGCCTGGCACTCAACGTGACCCTAACATCTCCATTCGTGACCCAGTGTTGTTTCCAAGTTGATCAAAGCGTGACCCCCAAAAAAAGCCCCTGGCACTCAACATGACCCTAAAATCTCAATTCGTGACCCAGTTATGTTTCCAAGTTGATCAAAACGTGACCCAAAAAATATAGCCCCTGGCACTCAAGATGACCCTAAAATCTCAATTCGTGACCCAGTTTTGTTTCCAAGTTGATCAAAACGTGACCCAAAAATATAGCCCCTGGACCCTCCGTGCACAACGAATCTGGCCCGCGACCCTGCAGCAAGAGCGATTGACCCAAATGTTTGACTCACACAACTCTGTCATTTTCGCAGATTCTTGCTTACTCCGATCTTACGTGACCCAGTTTTGTTGCCTAGGCAGCCTATACGTGACCTTGTTTTCTATGTTACGCGATCTGTTTTCTATATTACGTGACCTGTTTTCTATATTACGTGACTATGTTTCCTATACATCAGGTACCTGGACATGGGTTTCACGTGTTAAGCATTAGTTGGGCTATTCAACATATATACAGCTGGGAATGGCACACCGCATGGTGCACCAAGTGGTGCAATCCTTTCACAAGTTCCCTGCCCCCAGTTCCCTGTCCCCAGTTCCCTGTCCCAAGTTCCCTGTCCACAGTTTGCTGCCCCCAGTTCCCTGCCCCCCAGTTCCCTGCCCCAGTTCCCTGTCCCCAGTTCCCTGTCCCCCTCCGTAGCCTTTGGCTCAATCTTTTTCGGTTCAAGCTCATCGAAGGTGATGAGCAGGTGGTTCAAGGGTTTCTCTCAAAGAGGACTCGAGGACGCAATCTTTTTTTGGGCAAGCCATATCTACCCATTAATCATGTGCGTGTTTACTTCCCTGTCCAAGTGGTTCGCAAACTCGTGGAGCTGTCGTGCCCTGCGACTTGAAGATTTTACCCCGGGTGAAGGGAAAAGGTACAAACACAACAATGCACAAAATGAGACCAACAACCCTTATATCGTTGTTCGAGCCTATGAAGGGCAGTTTGCCACAAGTGAACACCCAGCAGTCCCGCCTACTCCTTACCTAGCGAAGGCCTATGAGCAAGGCATCCTTGAAGCTTTGGTCAAATGGTCTCCTTTGCATCATCCTACAAATGCGGCTTTCGATTGGAGGTGCCAGCATGGTATAATGTGGATGAAGGGGTTGCCCAAGCAGCGGGAGACCAAGGAAGGAGAGGCTGACGATGACACCTACCTCGTCCCAGTGGCCTTTTACATAGGGCGGCGCAAACCTACTCCAAGCGAAGTGTAGGTAACAAGTATGAGCTTATCTCCAGGTGGCTCTTAACAGGGCTTGCAATTCAAAATTCGCGGAAAAATTGGAATATACTCTCGAGGAATAGAACCTGTACGGTCACCGACTTTAATCTGCTCAGAAATTACTTCCTGCAGGGCTACCCATCTGAGGAGAAAGACAAGAAGAAGAAGCCGTATGCGCTCCCCCATACCCACTCACTTCATGCTAGCACGTTTGAAACAGCGGTAGCAAGGATCAGCTACAAACGGTATCTCCAGAAGACCACCGACTTTGAAACAGCTAGAGTGCAACCAGGGTACTATGCCACGATCAATCAAGCAAATCCCATCCACGCTACTCCCGAAATGGAGCAAATTGAACCCCGTGACTCAGTCACGGAGCAGGGCACGGAGCAGGGCTCGGAGACAATTGTGCACTCTAAGTGCGCACTGAGCCCGCACATGCTAGTCATCACCGCGCCCTCAGTGAAACCAAGGGGATTTGACTGTCCGTTGAGGTTATGACCCCTATGCTAGGAACCTCTCGGTTGGTGTTGAGCAAGTCAGCAAGGCTCTCGCGACAGGCAGCATCCCTAGATGCTGTCCTGAGCAAGGTATCGAAGTTAGCCGGCAGTTGGCCTCACCGGTCATGCATCACATGGGTGCCCACCCCTGGCAACAGTACCCAGGAGCCCATTGCAGCATGTGAGTGGTAGGCGACCAACTAGTTCCCCACTGCAGTTGGCTCAAACCAGCTAGATTAGATGGTCGGATGCTAATTGCCTGCAAACTGCCTGCTAATTGCATGTTGCGGGCCAATTGTCCCCCTGTCATCCAGATGGACAACACTGCGCTATGGGAGAGCTATGAAGACAACGAGTTTGCTGGCAACTGCTCTTACACTCTCCTGCTCACCACCATGGCTGGAACTGGCATACAAATCGTAGTGCCTGTGAGCATACATCATAGGTGGGACATGCTGGAGGATTACTTGGTAGAAAATCTGCCCGCAGTCAGTCACTTGGATACTTTCGGGTGTGAGCTCATCCTCCTCGATGCAGACACACACCAAGAAACCCTGTGGGTTAACAGTCATTTCCACCTAGTTGTTCAAGAGTGTTTCCAGAGGTATGACTGCAAGGAACAAATTCGAGGGGAAGAGTATGAGGACTACCCCAAAGCAATCAGGGTCCCTGCCAATGCCGCCGGAATACTTCCGGCCAAAGCTTTCTCCTCTGTCGCGCACCTTCGCCATGTCAAAGTTGACCCTGGACTTCACACGATTGACCGAGAAGCCTGGCGATATTGCCGTTCGCTGCAAATTGTCAAGCTCCCTTACACTGTTGTGGCTGTGGAATATGCTGCTTTCCAAGGGTGTTTTGCGCTGGTAATGGTTGAAATGCCCGGCTGCGTTGCCTTTGGTGTACGACTCTTCTCTGAGTGTTGTGCCCTGGAAAAAGTTGGCATCCTTACCGAAGGCGCATGCAAGCTTGCCGAGGGAGCAGTAATAGGGCCGTATGCCTTTGAAAGCTGTGGTAAGCTTGAGCAGATTTCCCTACCTGGTGTCAAAGCGCTGTCCGATACCATGCCTATGCTGCATCCCCCTGCAGGGATTCCGCAGGGCTGCTTTCATACGTCTGGTATCCGAAGTGTTATGCAAGGGGGGGATGTAGTCTTCATGGGTCATAGGGCATATGAAAACTGCAAACAGCTCGCCGTGGTTGACGTCTCTCACACGAATATTACCACCCTGCACACGCATACCTTCTCGCACTGTTTACAGCTGGAAAGGGTGAGTTTGCCACCCTGCCTGCGAGAAATCCGAGCTGAGGCCTTTGTTGGATGTAAGCTTTTAGGTAGTCTTGCCCTCCCAGAACACCTTCGCTACATAGGACACAGGGCCTTTGGCGAACGCAGTGAGCTATCCTGCCTGCACTACTGCAGACTAAAACGGGTTACTTGGAGGCGCCCGTATGCTGCCTATAATGCCTTCGAAGCGTGTTACAAGCTTGCTACCCCTTGGTGGCTCCACTACCTACCAAATGGAACGGATTGGATGGTGCCACCTAGCCACCATACTTGACAACAGCACCCCCTCAACAGCTGTATCTTCTCCTTCTTGTTCGTTCTTCCTTCTTCTGGTCTTGCGTCTTCTTTTTTCCTGCTCTTTGTTTGTTTCTTATTTTTCCTGCTTGCTTATCCTGTTATGAAGAATCCTAGCGCCAATCTAGCGCTGCCTTACTGTATCACCATAGTCTGCCAGTCAGCTGCTTATTTTTCCTGCTTGCTTGTCTTCTTCTTGTTGTGCATTAATCTTCTTCTTCTCCTTCTTTGTCTTCTTGTTTGTTCTTCGTTTTCTGGTCTTGTATCTTCTTTTTTCCTTCTCTCTGCTCTCTGCTTGTTTCTTCTTTTTCCTGCTTGCTTATCCTGATATGAAGAAACCTAGCGCCAATCTAGCGCTGCCTTGCTGCGTCACCATAGTCTGCCGGGGGGCCCGCTTCTAAACGAAGATCTTGCACTTCTATTAGTTTCTTACAAATTAATTCTTACTTATCACTTGCTACTTAATGCCTAGACCACATTCATCAACAGAACCTCAGACTCAGACCTCAGATTCTGTGATTCCCTGAGCAGCTCAGCTCAGCCAACTGATTTAGTAAATGTGTTGTCAAGTTGTCTTTTCTCATTTTCTTCTTTGCGCCTTCTCTTTCCTATTCCTTCTCTTATGTGTCATTATGTTTTTGGATTCTCATTTCATGGAGACAGGAGACATGGAGAATATGCATTTAGCCTCATTACAATCAACTGAACCTGGTCCATATGAGTTTATAGAGAGGTGTGTGTGACCTGCAAAAGTTTGACGCCTGGTTTGTGCTTTATACACCTGGATACCGTGAACCTGGGTTCTGATTTCATGTAGAATGTACAATGTAGTTTGATGTTAATCAGCTGAAACTGGTCCACATTCCCACCTTGTGTTCCGCCATGGCGTTTGCGACCCTAAGTTTAGTACTTCACTAAGATTCCACTGCCTTCATTTCATGAGCATTGTTCATCTTGCTTGATTCCCGTTCTTTTTGAACTTTTTTGACTCAGTGTGTAAAAGTGAATTTCACAGACTTACACCAAACACCTGACTTTTTTTAAAAGAAACCCTAGTGGCACCCAGGCGTCTGAACACCCTAAAACAGTAATATTTAATTTCATTCGCGAAATTTGTCATACTTTTCCCCCTTCTTGCTTAACCCTGTCAAAGGCACACCAAACTTTATCCACTTCTTTTCCACGAATTTTCAATATATATTCCTCCCGTTTTCTTTTCAAGTTTCTCTCAGGAAAGCCGGTTCAAAATCAAGCACTTACCTTTTCTCACCATGCATGGTTGGATTCGTGGCTGTGCTTGGGCGTATACATTGCCCGAGTGAAACGTATCTTGAACAGCTTCTTGGTTCACTGTTTCTTCACCCGCTGTGTGCACAACCTGCTGGACAAGAGTGTCAACGCAGTGTCAAGTCTCATATCTTGTGAGTGATGCACGGTCATGCCACAGCGACATCCACTCTACATTTACTCCAAAGATGGAATTCGGTGAAACTATTGGGAACCCTTGCTCTCAATTGGTTTCACCTCAGCCACAGAAGGGCAAAACAAGTGGAACGCTAGGCGTAACGCTGCTGAGAAAAGCACTCACGCTGATGGCAATGTGAAGCCATAGCAATCTGTCCTTAAAACTGGAGGGAAAAACACAAACTTGAAGTGTGGTCAAAACAGCTGTTTCTCGAAACAAGCGCAACTCAGAGGCGGCAAAAAAACAAAAATACATCAGAAGGTTGTAACATTGACATCAGTTTGAAGCCCTGCATGGTTAAAAGCTGCTCAAAACAAAACACCAAGTGCCGGGCTTAGACGTGCCGCGATTGACAGATGCTTCTTCATCTTCCCTAATCCAACTTCCATCCTGCAAATCCGCGATGAGCAAACTGGCAAACCACAATGCTGCAAAGGCAAGTTGAGACGGTGGTGTGCAAGGGGTTGGGTGAGGTGTTGTGAAAGAAAACAATTGGACAAATTCACCTGACCAGCGATTGACAAAAGAGTGAAAAGTGAAAAGGTAGCAAAGACATTGCAACGCAAAGCGCTGAGCCGAGTGAACAAAAGCTGAACAATTGAAATACAACTAGCAAACGAGTTGGTGGCATAAACAGCGGCTCGTCCTGTTGGCTAAAAATATCAATTTCATCTGCGTCACACTTCACTTTGTTCGGCTTCTCTGCCTTAAGTGCCTCACGGCAAAACGACAATAACCACCATGCACTTGCACACGCGTTGAACAAAACATGTTCTGGCTTTCATCGATGCCTGCTTTGTTTGTCTTCTTCATTCAACGTTCACCAAGGCACACTATCAAGTTTGATTGAACAACAACAAGCTCTGAGCTCTGGACTTTCTTAAGGTCATCCACCTTTGAAATGAATCAAACTGAGCCAAGGGCTTTGTATAGCAACGTGATGACGACTTGAACGAAGCATGCGACGAAAGCATGGAGCAAAGCTAAGGTCACTGCGTTCGCCAACTCTCCCTTGACTTGGAAAGCATTGCCAATCTGCTTGAATGTATCACCGTCCTGCAATTGCAACAGGGGGTGGGCGACAGCCAATGGCTGCGCCTTTCGATAAGCAAGTGCAAAAGAACAATGCGCATGACAAGCAATGCATTACGCAAGAATTTTGACCTTGGGATGTGAAAATGGCTGAGGGAAATTTCTTCATGAAGTTTCAGCTGAACAAGCCACTTCTGTTCTTAACCTACCACTAGTCAAAGGCTTGAAAAGGAACAAAGGCATAAACTGCTGCATTGACTTTTGCAAATTACAAGCCTTTGATGCTTGAGTGGGAGAACTGACGGAGCACAACCCTACTTTTATTCACACGACCAATCAACACCGGTTTTCTCACAGGAACTTTGCAAAGGAAGAAACAAAACGAACATAGGGATGTAAAAACAAGGTTGCTTGTTCAACAGATGCAACTTTCAACTGTCAACGTCTGTTGAGGTGGTACTTTTTTGGCTTTTCGTCAAAAAGTTCTTCCTACACCTGTCAAAAGGGCATAGCAAAGGAACAAGGGCATGGCAAAACATCATACAAAGTCTTAGACTAAATCCTCTCTATCAAATTGAGGAAAATGTTGAGAACATATCATTCAACAAATCCTGAGGAATAAATACGCTACTGCTAGTATTTTATGCATAAAACATTTACTTCCCTCAAAAGAACATGGCAAAGGAACTAGCAAAAGGCAAAGAAACCATATGGTTTCCTTTTCCTAAACTGTCACCAGCATGCAACACCCTTTTTGCGCGCGATGGCTCAAACTCAGGCGTCCTTACGCCGTTCCCTTTGCCCATCTTGGGCTTCCTTCCCCCCTCAGGAATCCGGACGCGAAACGCATCACGGATCCTTATTGAGAGGGTCAGTTTGGAGTGAGGTCTGCCGTGATCATTTTCTGTGCTACGCCTTTGGCAGTCTCTCGCGCCT